GGTGCTGTTAAAGGCATTCAGCTTTATAAGGGAAGCAGAGCATAAAAGTTTGGAAAATTTGCAGCCTGACTACGGGATTGAAAAGAGAAACCCATTTTCTGGGGAGAAATTCAAGCTGGCTGCAGAAATTTGCATAAGTAGGAAGGAACCTAATGTTAATCTCCGAGACCATGGGAAAAATGTCTCCAGGCTATGTCAGAGACCTTCACAGCAGCCCCTCCCATCACAGGCCCAGAGACCCAGGAGGAAAAAATGGTTTCCTGGGCTGGGCCCAGGGTCCCCTTGCTGTGTGCAGCCTCGAGACTTGGTGCCCTGTGTCCCAGCCACTCCAGCTATAGTTGAAAGGGGCCAATGTGCAGCTTTAGCTGTTGCTTCAAAAAGTGTGGAAGCCCCAAGCCTTGGCAGCTTCCACCTGGTGTTGAGCCTGTGGGTGCAGAGAAGTCAAGAACTGAGGTTTGGGAACCTCCGCCTGGATTTCAGAAGATTTATGGAAATGTCTGAATACCCAGCAAAAGTTTGCTACAAGGGTGGGGCCCTCATGAAGAACCTCTGTTAGGGCAGTGCAGAAGGGAAATGGGGGGTTGAAGCCCCCACACAGAGTCCCTAATGGAGCACTGACTAGTGGACCTGTGAGAAGAGGGCCACCATCCTCCAGACCCCAGTATGGTAGGTCCACCAACAGATTGCACTGTGCTCCTGAAAAAGCTGCAGACACTCAACACTAGCCCATGAAAGCAGCCAGGAAGGAGGCTGTACCCTGTAAAGCCAGAGGGATGGAACTGCCTAAGATCATGCGAACCTACCTCTTGCATCTGTGTGACCCGAATGCAAGACATAGAGTCAAAAGAGATCATTCTGGAACTTTAAGAGTTGACTGCCCTGCTGGATTTTGGACCTGCATGGGGCCTGTAGCCCCTTTGTATTGGCCAATTTCTCCCATTTAGAATGGTTGTATTTACCCAATGCTTGTACCCTCATTATATCTAGAAAGAAACTAACTTGCTTTTGATTTTACATGATCATAGGCAGAAGGGACTTGCCTTGTCTCAGATGGGATTTTGGACGTGGACTTTTGGGTTAATGCTGAAATGGGTTGAGAATTTGGGGGACTGTTGGGAAGACATGATTGATTTTGAAATGTGAGGACATGAGATTTGGGATGGGTCAGGGGTGAAATTACATGGCTTGACTGTGTCCCTACCCAAATCTCAACTTGAATTGTGTCTCCCAGAATTCCAACGTGTTGTGGAAGGGATCTGATGGGAGGTAACTGAATCATGAGGGCCGGTCTTTCCCATGGTATTCTCATGACAGTGAATAAGTCTCACGAGATCTAATGGGTTTAACAGGCATTTCTGCTTTTGATTCTCCTCATTTTTCTGTTGCTGGGAAGAAATATGCTGGGTTTAGGGCATGTGGAATAGGTCTGTGATACATTTGGGTGTTGATTTCAAAGTTTTCATGGGTGTTTTGGGGAGACTTATTCTATATGAGGAATCATCAATGGATGTAAAGTAGGTTCTGATAAGATATGTGGTCAGGGCCACAATATATACTTGGGTAACACCTCAAAGTAGGTTAAGGACTGGATAAGACTCCACCCAAACACAACCCTTCCAGCCAATTTACTAAATGCAAAAGCCAGGAAGAAGTGCCTTTCACCTCCCGCCATGATTCTGAGGGCTCCACAGCCATGTGGAACTGTAAGTCTAATTAAATCTCTTTTTCTTCCCAGTTTTGGGTATGTCTTTATCAGCAGCATGAAAATGGACTAAAGCAGCTTACAAATAAATTCTCGTTATAAAGATCCCTGAAGTGGAGCAGAGAAACATTTGGCTCTTGTTTGGTTGCTTGGTACTAGGAAATATCAGGGAATATTTCAGTGATTTTGTTGTTTTACTAGATTTTAAGTGCCTCAAAGCCAGTATTTTATCAATTTCTTCATCTCCAGCACTTAACAGTGCCCAGCACAAACTAGACATTAGTACATCATGTTGAACAGAAGTGGCTTCAAGTACATTCTTGAGCATAGCAAACACAGCGTTCTGTAACTCAGTGGAAAGAATGTTAAACCTCCAGTCACAGATGTTGTCAGTGCCTGCTACAGCCACTTGCCATTTACCTCGGCACACTGAAGACCTCTTACTGGGATAACTCTTTGATGACTAGATGACTCTTTGCATAACGATTTATTGAGATTATGGGAGTACACTTAGTCCACAGGTAGTAAAAACTGGGAGTCCCAGAGAGTTAATAGTGATAACAGATGGAGAGATGGTAGATAAATACCCCAGCTTTCTTGCCCTTCATGTGGGATAACTCTAATGTGTGTTCTATGCTGTCTCCCAGTGAGATGAGTTCTAAACCTATGGTGGTAACTGATGTAATCTTGTACGTTTTATTATCTTCCTTCCCTTCCCTTCCCTGACTCACTTTCTCACTCCTTTTCTGATGTTTCCAAGGATGGTCTTTCAAATAAATTAATCCCAATCCTTATCTCAATGTTTTATTTCAGGGGAACCCAAAACCAAGATACAACCTGAAACACTAATGGGTGGAGTGGTATCTCTTACCTCCTGTTAACAAATACCAGCAGAATAAAAGCCGTGAAAGAACAACTACTAAAATGTGCAGAGGTGACAGGGTGAGAAAGATTTTCTTTGAGGCTGAGGACAATCAGATTTGGAATTTAGGAGTGGAACAGAGCAACCCTGTGATGGGCAGGTGACTCCCTGCCAAGGAAAGGAAAAACAAAGGAGACCAGTGAAGGAGATGCAGGAAGTGGCAAAATTGCTGGAGTAGCCCCTCTTGTCCCTGGTCTGTTAGAGAATGAAGAGTTGAGTAATGAGCACTGTTTGGGAAGAGGAAATATGCTGGGTTTAGGGCAGGTTGAATAAGTCTGGGATACATTTGGGTGTTGATTTCAAGGTTTTCATGGGTGTTTTGGGGAGACTTATTCTATATGAGGAATCACCAAGGGATGTAAAGTAGGTTCTGATAAGATATGTGGTCAGGGCCACAATATGTACTTGGGTAACACCTCAAAATAGGTTAAGGACTGGATAAGACTCCACCCAAACACAACCCACCCAGCCAATTTACTAAATGCAAAAGCCAGGAAGCAGGAAAAATGTAATTTTCTGAACAAGCAGGCAGAGCTTCATATTTTAAAGCATCCACTGAAAGGACTTCAAAGAAGAAACAAGAGAAATGTAGAGACAGAGATATGTAGAATCCAATAGGGTGATAAAAGTGACATATAAAAGAGTGAAAAACATTTAAGATCAAAGTAGAGGTATTTTAATGCAGCAAAGAGATATAGGACACAGCATAGATGTTGACAAGGCAATTAGATCAAGTTATGGTGCAAAAAATCTTGATCAACAGGGGACACAGCTTGCCTAAATTACAATTGATATTTATTTCCACACTGAGGATGGCTGCCTTCATTGGTTTGCCAATAGACCAGAGGAGGCAGTTTCATGTTTGCACTAAGACAGTCACACCCTGGTAAATAAACAAATGGTGATAACAAAAGAGATGAACAGCTTGTTTCCAACTCTTCACAGGACACTGTTTAGGCTCCGTAAGGAACCTGGTCATCAGGGATGATTATTGCCTAGTCCATCCCTGAGGAGAGATGAAGAGAAAGAGAAGAGGGAGGATGCAGAGGAAAGGGGAGGACAGAGGAGGGAAGGGGGAGGCAATTTTGCGTTTTCTTCCAAATACTACATTGTATGACTGCCAATAATAAGGCAATACAATTCCAAATAATTTTTTTTTTGCTTGCTCTGCCCTTTAGAGAATTGAGGAACAATCTAGCAGCCTGTGCCCATAGGTTTGTGAAGTTGTTTTCCCTTTGTTTATCTCATTTTCAAAAATAATTAATTGCCTATCCATCTCACTGCTTTTCTCTTTGCCTTCTTTAAAATGGACTTTCCAAAAGACACAGATCTTTGTCACAAAAAATGAAAAAACATCCAAAGGCAGGGGCTTCTCTTTATTAACGGTGTTTATTAATTAGTGGTACTTTCTTGTACCACTGGGGAAAATAGAATTCTAACCTTTCTTCCTTAAATTTGCACCCTGCAAATACTCTGCATTTTGAGTGAGGCCGCAGTGGATTTCACAGCTCAGCTCCACAGTCCCGACAGTGCAGGTTCAGAAGGCCTTTCCTGAAGGCTCCTTTGCCCGAAGGGCTGGACCTGACTGTCTCACCCCAGCTGGCCTTGGCAGGATAGCAGGGGAGGAGGAACTTCTGCAGTTTCCCTGGGGCTATATTTATCACCTTCCTTTTCTCACTGACCTTACTCCACCTTGCTCAAGCAAGCAACTAAGACAATTAGACAACTAAGCAATTAGACTTTGGCAGCTACAATTAAAGAGACTTCCAGTATTCTGAGAAACATTAAAGTTGTAAATAAGATAGTGGTCACCAGGAAATTGATCTGTCTGCTATGGTTTGAATGTCCACTCCAAAATTTATGTTGAAATTTAATCTCCAGTGTGGCAGTATTGACAGCTGGGGTCTTTCATGGGTGACTGAATCATCAGGTCTCTGTCCTTATTAATAAGATTAATCCATTTATGGATTAAAGGGTTATTGGAGTCATGAGTTATGATGGGAGGGCAACTGGTGGCCTTATAAGAAGAGGAAGAGAGACCTGAGTTAGCACATTAGCAAACTCTGTCCCCTTGCCATGTGATACCCTGTGTCACCTTGGGATTCTCCAGTTAGTCCCCCCATCAGCAAGAAGGTTCTCACCAGATGCATCCCCTCGACCTTGGATTTAGCCTCCATAACTGTAAGTAACAAATTCCTTTTCTTTATAAATTACTCAGTTTCAGGTATTCCATTGTAAGCAACAGAAAATGAACCAATACAGAAAATTATTGCTTTCTGTGTGATTTTATTCTGTTAATGGAATCATTAATCTTTAGCATTCTACCATCATCCTCATCTCCAACAAGAATGACAAGTATCCAGGGAAACAGACTCCAGCATTGTTACCCACGTGTGGCGGCTCTGCAGCATAATAGAGTGCTTCCTCTTCAGGGAAGAGCAGGGCAAGAGACAGGAGGGTGTCAGGGAGTCTGTAGAACAACAGCCCTTACCAAAAACCTTGATTGTGGTGGAGCTCCTCAAGATTTTGTCAGGACCGACTCTAATGTGGCAAGAGAACTTCCGCCCATCATCGAAGATTTGGACTGGAGAGAGGTGGAGTCTGTAGTCTGTACCAACCTTGACTCTATCTTTAAGTAATGTGGAACTGCTGATGAGGTGATCTTGGGAGATAAGTGTTTGCTGAGTTCCATTATCCTCCTGGTGAGAAAAATCGTTACCAGTTATTGAGCCCTCAACTGTGCCAGCTCTGAACTAGGCGTTTCACAAGCATCGACTCATGTATTTTTTGTAAAGTAGAGAGGAAGAATGAAGGATGGAAATTAAGAGACATTTAGTATATTACTAGAGAAAGTATACACTTGACTTTCAGTTAAAAACTATTGTCACCCTCTCCTAACAAATGGAAACATTCTGTTCTTCTGACTAGACCTTCTCCTTCATAATCTTCTACGAACTGCATATCTGGAGTAGGATTTGGGGGCTGGAATGGGTGTGGAACTAATGGCAGATTTTAATTTTCATTTAAGAAGTTCTGGCATCTTACTGCTAAGATGTGCTGAGAAGACTGTATCAGTGTGAAGATTTCATAAAATCTTCACTTAAACTGGATGATTACAGTTATCCCTGAATTCCTTTAGAAAGGACTCTTTTCAGCTCCTCCCTGAGCCTGGACTAGGATCAGGTAAAGTGACGTTCTCAAAGTCTTGCTAGTGAAATGTTGGCACCCAACAGTGAGTACCTCCTTAAATTTTGTGCCCTGGGCACCTCCTTGCCTCCTTTCACAGCCTTGTTCTGGTCCTAACCCTATTCTCTTTATTTCTGTGTTTGTGTTAGCTTCAAAGAGGATGCATGAAGAGTAGGCTGAAAATGTTAATCTGAATTTTGGAGATCAGAGTATATTTGAGGTACTTGGTTTTTCTATCGCATATCCTTTCTTCCATCTGTGATGAAAAGCACTATTATTCTCTCTGTGCCTGGAATTTTTTTGGACAAGCTCCCTGGGTTGTCACAGTGTTGACTGATGTCAATAAAAGTGCTCACTAGGGGCCCAGTGAGGAGGGGATTCTTGACGGGCACAGGGGTAGAGGATGGATTAGGTCTTCAGACCCCGTTAGTATGACTCAGCATTCTCGGTTGAGCTGCTTTTAAAACACCCCGATGCACACGCTTCTCTTCTAGAGATTCTAATTTAGTCTGTCTGGGATAAGGCCATGGTTAGGACAGTTGTTTTTAAGGTACTCAGGGGATCCAGGGCTGACATCTACTGGCCTAACTCTAAACAACAGATGAATCCTTGTGCACAGGCATCAGGGGAAATGGAGGGAATTAAAATGGAGAAGGATAAACAGGAATGCATTCAATGGGGGGAAATGTTACAAAATAATGATAAGATCTATGAATTGGAATCTCTAGTTTTAAAAATGAGACAGATCAGGCTACATGAAATGGAAACCCCATTCAAGTATGGGCAGAAACAGAGGAAGGACTAAAGCAGACTTCTTAAATAGTTTAAAGAGATAATTCCAAAATATACTTAGTAGAAACTCTTATGTAAGACACAGTTCTTTAGCTGAATCTGGCTAGGATTTGTGTCAGTCTTACATGCAGATAGTATTGTGTTATTGGCTGCAAATAATCACACTCTGCTGAATTCTTTTTCCTGAAGCAATTTACATACCTTTTACCCTTAGAAAGAAGGACCCAAGAATCTGTGCTGCTGTTTTCTTTAAAGAAGAAAAGCACAAGAAAAAGGGAGAAAGACTGTATTACAGAGACAGGATCCCCCAGAGGAGCTCTAAATATTGGGTGGGGACAGGAGAAGAAAGTGGAAAGCATGTCACTCAGCACTGGCAGGTCTGGAGGTCAGTAATTAAGAAGGCAGGTAACCCCTGCAGATCTTTTGGCACAGGTATGTTTGGCAGCCTCTTGCTTTTTTGTGTGTGTCAGGATTTTAGAGTTGAAAATGTTCCTTGGTCATTTGGTATGGTATGGTATGACTACCATTTGGAACAGTTCCATCAACTGTCACTTTGTTGTGGGAAAAAGAGCAGTTACATGCTGAAGTTGGAGACTGGTGAGAAAAACCACTTTTTTCTTTATTATATAGCAGATTGTGACTAGGTGGTTTAGTTGATATAGAAAAAATACAAAACCTTTCAACTTTTTCCAAAGGTTGCTTTTTTTCCCCTGGGCAGTTGACTTTTGCAGAAAGAAGGTTTGTTCCTTCATTGGAAAAGATGGGATTCAGTTGCAAAGAATGCCCTGTAACCTACAAGATAAGGAGATCCTGAGACATTCTAGAGTCTTCAGTTATAAAGGGGGCAGTAGCAAGAACTTACAATGAGTGGCTGCCTTCATAGAGCAAATGGGAGGAGAGGTGAAAAAATTAGCACAGGCAAACAACAAAATGCCTAGGGATGGGAGAGGGAGAAAAATACTAATATTATGTTATGACCACTATTAAAATTTCATATTCTTATTAGTCATAATTTAAATTTATTTAGTACCTATTATATTGTAAGAATTCTGCAAAGTCCTTTCACGTCTTGTTTACTCCTTACAACCATGTAAAATAAATTGAGGCTAAAAATTTGCTCAAATATCACACAAAGTAAGAGGTATTTAAGAAACAGCATCAGAAAGCAAGGATGCCCGGAACCGGGGACAAATGTCTCAGATACAATTTGTACTAATAAGAACCAAACTATGAAATAACAATAATAAATTTAAAAAACCTTTCTGAAGTATACAGAGTGAGAAGTTTAACAGAAACTTTAGAAGGCTAGAACCTTTCATGTGAGTTGTAGGTTACAGGGTATGGGCAATTTGCTGATTGAAAGGGGCCTTTGTATGACATATTGACCCACTTTTGGTGATAGGTGTTTAGAGCATACCTCAACTCCTACTTGATAATAATGCTCTCAGCTAAGCTAGTCTTCAGGAAACAGACTGGTGGAGGCTAGAACCTGCATGTGAAAGCCTGATTTCTATCAGGTTTTTCTTTTCCTGTTCTTCAAAGAAAAAAATTGCTCGCTTTAAAAATTATTAATAAGTATTTCTAAAACTTTATGGATTCATACCTTGGTAGACTCTCACATTTTAATGGGAAATATAGATTTAATGAGCTAACATATATGATATACTTACTCTAGTCCTGACACTTAATAGCTGTTCAATAATACAAGCTTATTATTATCTAGTCCAGCCTATGAGATCAACCTGCTATTTCATGAGTATTCATTATGTGCCTGGCTAAATTGAGGAATTATGGAGATTCATTGCTGTGGTTTGAATGTTTTTGTCCCTTCCAAAACTCATATGGAAACTTAATCCCCAATGGCACAGTATTGGGAGGAGAAGCCTCATGGGAGATCCAAAGGGCTCTGCCCTCATAAATGCATTAATGCCTCGTACAAAGTGCTGGTAGTAGTGAGTTCTCTCTCTTCTGCTCTTCTGCCATGTGAGGACACAACTTTTTTGTCTTCTCTGGAGAATACAGCATTCAAGGTGCCATCTTGGAAGCACAGAGACCAGGTTCTAACCTGCCGGCACCTTGATTTTGGACTTCCCAGCCTCCAGAACTGTGAGAGAATAAATTTCTGTTTATAAATTTCTCAGTTTCAGATATTCTGTTATATGCAGCAGCACAAAATAGACTAAGACAGTTATAAAGTCATGAATAGCTCAATCTGCTCTCTTGCCAGTGTCAACCCTTATACACTAGCCCTTGGGGGACAAAATGGCCATGAAGCCCAGAAACAACAAGTTGATTGAAAATACTGTTCCTTAAACAATATAAATGTAGTAAGGTCTCAAAAACACACAAGCAACAGTCTGCCTTTATTTACAAATTTGATATTTTGTTCATCATGGATTTTCCCTAACTTCTGATTTTTAAAAATATTGTATTAAAATATTTATCTTGATTGCTAATTTTTTTGTGCTCCCTTAAATTTTGCTCCCAAGATTAAGAGCCTTACTTGCTTCACTCTAATCCCAGCCCTTAGGTCTCATAGCTAGTAAGTAGTGGAGATCCAGGTCTTGAAAACAGCAATTTCCCTCCAAAAGTCACATTGTTAATGACTTTTTTATATATAGTCTCACAAAAGTAGTAGAAGAAACAGTCTTTGCCTTTCCTACATATAATCTACTTAAGGGCTGAGTTTGGTGGCTCATGCCTATAATTCCAGCACTTCGGGAGGCCAAGGCTGGTGGATTGCTTGAACTCAGGAGTTCAAGACCAGCCTGGGAAACATGGTGAAACCCTGTCTTTCCTAAAAATACAAAAAAATTAGCCAGGTGTGGTGGCACCTACCTGCTGTACCAGTTACTCGAGAGGCTGATGTGGGACCTGAGCCTGGAGAGGTCAAGGCTGCAGTGAGCCAAGATTATGTCACTGTACTCCAGCCTGAGCAACAAAGTCAGACCCTGCCTCAAAAAAAAAAAAAAAAAAAAAAAAAATCTAAAAAAAATTAATTTTTAAATATAAATTTTAAATAGATTTTTTGCACTAAAAAAACTACTTAAGGAGAAGAACAAACACACATATGAAAATCAGGAGCCACAGAAAATAAACAAATGCATAATTAAATTATGTATAGAAGCTTAATAAAATAATTAGCATGATAAGGGCTGAAAGGGATCATACTGAATCATGAAACTGCTGTTATATGTCCCTTAAGTACTTGACAAATTCTAAAATAAGTCATTGAGGCTTTGTTTTTGAACTAGAATCAAAATTTTCAATTTAGAAGAGGAATGTTTGTACTACAGATTGAGCGTCGCTTATCTGAAATGCTTGGTATCAGAAGTATTTCAGGCTTCAGATTGTTTTGGATTTTGGAATATTTACGTTATGCCAGTTGAACATCTCAAATCTGAAAATCTGGAATCTGAAATAATCCATTGAACATTTCTTTTGAGCATCATGTGTGTGCTAAAAAAGTTTCAGATTTTGGAACATAATTTCAGGTTTTCAGACTTGGCATGTTCAGCCTCCTTGATTTAGTGATGATATTTCGTCTCTGAGCTATCCTGAGCTCCTTGAAACCAGCTCCATGTCAAAGCTGGATGCACTGACCACAGCACGTGGCAGGTGCTGAGTGTACAGAGCTCATTCGATAACTGCTGTTAACTGTATTGATTGCTTCTCCTTTTTTCTCCAAACTGTTTCCTATCTTCACATTTCCTCCATTTATTCTCCATCCAGTCAGTGCTGTCAAAGCAAGCTGCTTGCAAAGCTTCCTATGTCCATTTTGTAGAGCACCAGAACAATATATTTCTAGTCATTGTTGTTGGTTATCAACACTTTGCAGTTCGGCTAGCACTTTAATTTTTATTAAAGACAATTAGAATCAGCTGCCATCAGGTAAGAGGTTACAGTTTTGTTTTCTGAATAGTGAGGCATCCATAAGCATAACAAACATTGTCTAGAGTACCATTTACCTTTTAACATAAATAGCACAAATATTAAATAAGAGCATATTGAAGATATACATAAAAATTTTAAGATAGATGAGCATCTGTAGTTATGTGCTTTGGTCACTAATATTGAATTGTTTGAATTGGAAATATTCTTGTCCTTCTCTTCATGATTTTAAAGAGAATAATCATGAATTTCTTTATTTTCACTGACTTTGGAAACAAGTATTTCCTCATACACATTTTCCCATTTGCACTACCAATTTGTACTTAAAGTTCCCAGGGTCTTGGTGTAGTGTAAGTCCGTCTT